GTCATAGAGACCACTTCAGGAAGGAACTATTGCAGCCTCTTTGTCAGACCACTAGCCGGCAACTCCATGAAAACACGCCCTGGGTTGATTGCTAGTTACCCCGTCAGGTGACAAGCTTTCAAGCCCCGGCTTTTAGCCACTCGTGCCTTCCTTACAGGAATTAAAAAAATCCCAAAGCACAGGAGTGTCAGCCACTATTCTAGCGCTTGGAGCTACCTTAATCTAGTCTCTGCGGTAGTTCCCTTACGACATGGGTAATCGCCGAGCATATATGCAGAACTTCTTATTACTACTGGTCACCGTCCCCTCTCTTTGTTCTGCAAACTTTTACACACTTCCTCAGTCCGAGTTGCATTCACGATATGCACTGGCCTACTTTCCTCCAATTATTTTGATCTGGGTAGTGCTGGCTGCGTTCTGCAATTCTCAAGGGACTTGGTTATGTAAGGTAGGCAGCGATACAAACAATCTCACGCAATTTGCCTGCAAAGGAATGAGCTGCAAAATCCCCCCGGAGCCTATGAATAGGGTGCTGATGGGGTGTTCACCGTTCGTCATGCTCAATCCGCTGTGCCCTGGAGCTCAGGCTCGAGACCCCTCAGGAACCGCTCGGCGGCTAGTATATCATTAGGAAAAATGGCTATTTTGGCTAATTAGTCCTCATCAGTCGGTCATACCAAACCCTAGATGTTGCGACTCCTTAGATGCGAACCCACGAACTGTTGGTTAGAAGTCCTACATCCCAACAACTGGGCCATCTTTTACTCTCGATTATGATCGAGTGCGTTAATAGGGACAGTTAGCCGCCCGTTGGCATTCGCATAGCTGGCTGATGCCAGAAATGACTATTCCAGACCCTACACCACTGTCTAGGGCACCCTTATCCATTTCCCCAAGTGTCAAACCATGACCGCATCCACCCGATACTGATTGTTCGAATTCTCAGCCCCTAAAGGGACCTTAACCGAACTACTTCAATCAGGCTATGACAGTAATACGCGGGAACATCCGTTGTTTCAAGAACCAACTTACGTAAAACATATCACACATGTTGTTGTATCTTCAAAACCGTGATAAGGCAAATCGTCCATCGTGTCATGTCACGCAATCTGATTTTCTTTTCCCCTCTTTCTGCCTGTGCCACAGGTGGTCGTCATCGCGACGTACAGCTACTTCGCCTGCCAGATTATGGCAGGACAGTTTATCGAGGTGCCAAAGATCTCCGGTGAACCCGTCATGGACTTCTACATCCCCATCTTCAGCATCTTCTATTTCCTATTCATGATTGGTTGGTTGAAGGTAGGTTTTTGTGCCCACTTAACATTGGTCCATAGTAGAAAACCGGTTGTTTTGCAGTACTGGTGGTGTTACATCCATGCCAGTAGTTGCCGGGTTTATTGAACGTGAACTGCTGCGGGTCTGCAGTCGCGTGACGATTTCCCACTCAATCTTCTCTCCTTTTAAAGTCGTCTTCAAGGCTTTGAGAACTCGTCATAGTAACATGCATGCATAACTCCCACCTTACTCCTCTTTCGTGACAAGAATAAGTCAGAAAAACTGCCGGTAATTAAATCATCTTTTCGCTAATTTAGAAAACTATTAGGATTAGAGTTAATTATCTTAGGCAAACAAACGTTTTCGATTGTCCATCAGCAGTCAAACACAATAATATAAGGGAGGGTAGCGTTAACAAACGTTTGCGTAATCAATCAGTATTAATTGGGGCTGAGAGGTGTTAAGGGATCAAGGGGGTCAGATTATAGTCATAATTATCCCTAACCCTTTTGAGCCCTTAACACCTCTCACCCTCTAATTACTACTGATTGGTTACTCAACCGTTTTTTAGCTCTACCCTCCCTTATATTATTGTGTTTGACTGCTGATGGACAATCGAAAACGTTCGTTCGCCCACCTTGACTTCTTGAGTGCTCACATGGGGATTAGAGTCAGAATTGAGGTCGAGATAAGAAGTAAGGTTAGGGTTAAGGCGAGGCGAGGCGAGGTGAGGAATAACGTTAAGGTTAGAGCACAGGATAAGCAAGGTGATTACCAGCGCGAGTGTTTGCGAGTCCTATTTGCTGCGCAGGTGGTCCGCTTTCTAAAGCATAGGGAACAGCTTCCATCCGTCTTCCAAGATTGGGCCAATCAGAGAAGTCGGCAGAGGCTGGACTCGCATAACCGGGCATACCAGGCATTCTCCTCCTGCCTCCCGCCTGTCGCAAGCCTTATTGACCTCGGTTCCAGAACTGACACAACGGCAAATAGGTTGTGATCGGTCGACCGTCGGAACGATTTATTTATTCAATTCAGTACTCGAAATCGTACAAGAGCCTATCGCCAGTGCTCTGTCCGACAACAAATCCAGTGGCAGTCATAGGGCACAGGAGCAAATGAATAATCAGTAACGCCCGTCCAGAGGTGACTGCGTATAGCTCTATACGCCAGTGCCAGATTTGTTGACTTCTCATCTGAGGACCAAGTTTAACTCAGTTCACGTCTCTTTTTGCTTACAAAGTGAATGAGTATGGGAAATATTTCGAAGCTAAACTCGTGGACTGTTTCGTGGGTGTGGGCAATAGCTTCCGATACCCCATCACCAAGACCAGTTTATGTTCATGCGTGCGCAATCCGAACATGCTTTCGGTCTCCCCGGTGTAGAACTAAGGAAAGTTTAGGTCCGCTATGCGGTACACTCACTGAGATGTAATCAGTCCTTGATTTCTATGACTCTAAAATGCATAGTAGCTTTGAGCCTGTGTCTGATTCGGATTTATTGTCCAGTAGCAATTTTTGGACTCGGAACTCGCAAACTCTAGGCTCCTGAGTTCGCCTGCCCGAGTTCTTCCAAAGAGCTCGTGGCTGAATGATTAGAGCGTTAACTCCGATTACAAAGGCCGCAACTTTGAGCCTCGGGTTTTGCACCACTTGAGGTTGGATATGACTGGCTGAAAACGGCTAATAAACCAGAAATGGTCATTCCAGTCTCCCTTGCATTTGCAGGTAATACTACCTACCTAGACTACTAGTCGCTACGGGTAATGTGACCCAAGGCAGAGCGGGACAAATGAGTTCCAATGACGGCCGGTGAATTTTCACCAGCGAGTAGCACTACTTCTGCGAGATCAGTACACATCGCACGTGCGAAGATTAGTTTCATCCTTTTGAGTTCATAATCGCATACTTTAAAAGGGTCTCATCAGACATTCCCTAAAGGAACCGAACAAGGTTTGCGCTGAACAGGGGGATCCTCACCTCCTTCTCATGAACCAAACAATGTTTTGCCTTTCTATAATCGCAAGTAGTCGTTGCTAGAATCGCATGCCACCCTGGCGACTCACGCCCACACTACACTTAGG